CCCCTGCACAAGTCACAAGCCCATGAAGCCAGCCTAAGGACAGTCTTTTTTTCTTTTTAATGGAGAAAGGGAGAAAGCTCTTAATCCTATATGATAATGGCTCCCTGCGGGTCAGGAGCATTAAAAATACAGCCTAGAAAAGAAAAATCATATTTAATATTACAGACATTTTATTATAGTAGTCACAATGTTGGCTAGGCTGATTATCAAATAGAAATTATAAGCATATAAAACCTTTTAAGAAAGATGTCAGTGCTAAACACAACTACTTCCCCTGGACCAGTTTCAAAGATCCATTTCTATACATACAAGCTTTTAATTGAGTTTCCTGCCACTCTCAGGGGACGGTCACAGTCGCTTAGGCTTGCTTTATGGATATGTGTTACAGTCTAAGTACCAATCTAAGCCAGGTACAATGAAAGGTGTTAACTATGAATGTGAAAGGTTATGACTTACTGTTTCTACTCTGCCTTTGCATTTAGCACTTACAGAAAAAAAAAAACAAAAAAAACTGAGGGACAAGAAGGAACTGTCAGAAACTTCTGTCTGCTTTTTCCTACTTTTTGGAATGTGTGTTTGACTTTTTCTGCCACGGAGTGGGCAGGGCTGTTTCTGTGCCGTGTGTGAGGTGCGTGCTCAGTTGCTAAGTCAGGTCCAACTCTTTTACGACCGCATGAATTGTAACCCGCCAGGCTCCTTTGTCCATGGGATTTCCCAGGCAAGAATACTGGAGTGAGTTGCTATTTCCTTCTCCAGGGGATCCGCCCAACCCAGGGATAGAACCCATATCTCTCAGGTCTCCTGCACTGGCAGGCGGGTTCTTTACCCTGAACCACTGGGGAAGCCTGAGTAATTACCATGTGTGTGTTAGCACTCAGCTGTGTCCGACTCTTGGTGACCCCATGCTCTGTTGCCCTCTGTAGGCCCCTCTGTCCGTGGAATTCTCCAGGCAAGAATGCTGGAGTGGGTTGCCATTTCCTACACCAGGAGATCTTCCCGACCCAGGGATCAAGCCTATGTCTCCTGCACCTCCTGAATTAGCAGGTGGATTCTTTACCACTTGAGCCACCTGGTAAGTCCCTAGTTCTGTGTGGTAGCTGTGTCTAAGGCTGGTTATAGTTACCTGCTCTGGGCCAGGCAACCGGGACAAGGAACTATGAGCAGCTGCTATGGACTAGGCTAAACAGACTCCTTTAGTGATGGCTAAGTAAGGACCTGAAAGCAGAGACCTCACACAGTTTGCCTGCCTGCTGAGCACTCAACAGAGGCCAGAGGTGTGAGTCTGAAAAGAGGGGGCAGTAGGCCTCTAGGCAAATTGCCAGGATCAAGAGTCCCAGAGATTTCCCACAAGTCTCAAGACACCAATAACTGTTTTTATGTTTGTCTTATATTTTCATCTGTGCCTTCTTGGCAGGAGGTTCCCTTTCTTTATCACCTTGATCGTTGCTGTTGTTTAGTTGCTAAATTGTGTCCAACTCTCTGCAACCCCATGGACTATAGTCCACCAGGCTTCTCTGCCCATGGGATTTCCCAGGCAAGAATACCAGAGTGGGTTGCCATTTCCTTCTCCAGGGGATCTTCCTGACCCAAGGATCGAACCCACGTCTCCTGCATTGGCCAGCACGTTCTTTAACGCTGAGCCACCAGGGAAGCCTTACCATCTTGACAAATGTACTTATGCACTCTTCGTTCTTTGGGAGCTGAAGTGGATAAGTACGTCAAAAGTAGATGAGTGTAGCTAAGGATTGAAAAAATCCACTCTTAAATGTCATGAGACCTTAGTGAATAGAACAAAGGATGTGTGATCAGAGGTCAGACGAAGACAGAAGCCTGGACGACTCATTTGGCCCGGGTGATGGAGATTGCTAGATGTCCTCTAATGCCTGTCTCCTAACTTCCGGGGTGATAAAAGCCTGGTTTTCAGGTGAGTACATGGCTGCTCCAAATGGAGACCTTCTACGTGCAGTCATGTGAAAAGGTTCTGGTCAGTGATGTGAAAAATTGCCCTTCCCTTCTTTTTCTTCTCTGTCTTGCTGCCCACAATGCCGACTCTGTTGTCTTAGACCTGAGAAGGGTCATGGTCTGGGGTTGGGAGAGCAGTGAGATGGAAGGAGTGTGACTCCCTGAGGACTTTGGGGTGGAGCCTCCTTTCAGCTCTGGACTGCTCACCAAATACTTTTGATCTTATTTAAACCATTGCTATTTTGGCATTTTGTCACTCACAGTTAAACCTAATGCTACTGATGCAAAGTATTACTGCAAACTTATCCTGGCTGCACGTCTTCTAGACAGAAGGGCTATCTATGGGACTTTACATTCAGACTCAAAAGTCTGCTTTTTCATACTCCCATCATTGTAACACAGCAGAAAGCCCTTTATACAATACATATCCCTTGGCATGTCAAAATCTCATGCAGGGAGCCTATACCTAGGGGCTTAGGAGCCAGAGCAAAAAATTAGCAACACACAAAGTGCATTAAAAGGAAATAACCATTAGAACCCTACTCAACATGGCTGCCAGTCCTCAGGAGCAGCTGAATTGAGCCTGGAGTGATGGTTAGGTGGAGCCATGTGGCTCGTGTAGAGAGAAACAGGTATGTTTGGAAGCTTGAGCCAAGAGGCTCTCCTGAGCGATTGATGTGGGCTGTAGGAGCAAGAGAGGAACCAACGCTGACCTGGCTTCCCAGAGCCTGCTCCTATTGACGTACAGGGGGCTCTCTTTTTATCATCCTCTCTTTAAGCAACCTGGCAGATTCATCTGTCTGCCAGCCTCCCGTAAAAAACCACTGGCTGATGCCCAAGACACTCAACCTTGGTGACCAACAGGCTACTCTTCGGAGCACCCCTCCATCACAACACCTAACTCCCACTCTCGTCAATTGAGCTGTATGTTTGCTTAGACTGATTGACTTCATTCAAAAATCATATTTCAATAGTATCTTTAATAATAGATTAAGTATAGTGTAAAATGAATTTGAAAACAAAGAATTTAAGGCTTTGAAAGTATTGACAGAAACGAGTCTTAAAAATTTACTGAGGAGGAGACAATTGTAAAGATAGAGGGGAAAAAAATTAAAATCCAGAATGACTATGTTGTCAGACTACATGGCAAATATTTTTTAACTTCTTCCTCTAAAGAAATCAGAGCCTGAGAATTCCCTGGTGGAACAGTGATGAGGAACTGGTCCTTCCACTGCCAGGTCAGGTTCAGTTCTTAGGAAAGTCACACTGTGCAGCCAAAAAGAAAGAAATCAGAGCTACAGATCACACTCCCATGGAGTGGTTTATGCAAGACCAGCACCCACATGCTTAAGGAAGGGCCCTAGCTTTCCGGCAGATTGAAAATGGATGTGTGCAATAGATGTTTACAGAATATGTTGGAGTCTCTGTTCTATCCAGTTTTCCCCCCAATAAACTAGCACATTGATAGATCACATAAATGAATAGATCACATTGAAGATGACTCTTTTCACTGCATTGTTATTGATAATTTACATATTCTAAAAATGTTTAGGTGTGCAACATGCTTTTTCTTGAACTATATTCTATTTTTCCATTCTGGTGAATATCAGGCAGCACGACTAGTTTCTGGGGTTTGGTTTCTAATGTGTTTTGTGAAGAATGAACTCACTCTGACTTAAAAATCAACCTTTAAAATTAGAATATACAGCATGAGGACCCACGATCAATCACAAAGCATGTACAGACTTTAAAAACTACGTAACTTTTTTACTAAATAAGGCGTTAAATCTGCTGTGTGCAATGAGATACCTTTAAACAGCTTCCAATTAAAATAAATAAATTTTAAAAAATTTAAAAGTTTCACTTACTGTGATTCCTTTGTAATTGCTGGAAAACAGAGGATGCTGCAGAAAATCTTTTGGCCTCAAGAGGGCATGGGGCAGAAAGGAGATAGCTGAGTTTGGTCTCTCCAGATGGTGGAACTATCTCCTCACCAGGGCTGCTAAAGACAGGAAAAAGAGGTCTCACCCTCCTCAGAGGACATTCAACATGGGATTCTAGTAGACCAACGATTATATATATTTAACTCTACCTCTGGTTTTTGAAGTGTAATAAATACTATGCAAAAACTACAGAAATGTCTTTATCCTCTCCTGTCTTACCGACAGAAATAAAAGTATGTTAAGTGAGAGGATTAGAGAGAACTAGAGACATAATTAGTGGCAGAATCAAAGAATCAGAATGAGAGAATAAGAAAATAAATGAGAGTTTCAGAATGTGTGTATGAGTGTAGATGTGTGTGAGTGTGAGAGTGCATGAGTAGGATGCTCAGTGCTCCAGGCTTTAATTCTTATAAGAAACATAGTGTCACTGAAAGCACATGAAAATGGCTAAATTATGCTTCAAATTCAGAGTTCTAAATGTTCTACCAAAGGCTAAAGCTAAAGATTTTTGTTCCAGACAGGAAACAAAACTAAGCACAACCCCCTTTGCTCTCCCTAATACTTCAGTGACATTAACTTACCACTTCTAAACTCATGTTCTGAAGACTTTTATTAATTGAGCAGGAATTTTTCCTGTCTTCAATATTTTACTGAAGCGTTTCAAGCAGCACCGAAAGTGAAAGAAAGTGAAGTCGCTCAGTCGTGTCCGACTCTTTGCGACGCCGTGGACTGTAGCCCACCAGGCTCCTCCATCCATGGGATTCTCCAGGCAGGAATACTGGAGTGGGTTGCCATTTCCTTCTCCAGGGGGGTCTTCCCGACCCAGGGATCGAACCCAGCTCTACCGCATTGCAGGCAGACGCTTTAAACCTCTGAGCCACCATCACACAAAATCTACTATAAAGAATCTCACACATTTAACTGCTGCATGAATATCATTCATTTATTAACATCATGAACACATAATGGAAAAATGCTCCCCCAAAGAGGAAGGTGAATGTTGACTGTCAAATAGGACAAAGCCGTCTTCAAGAGACAGAGATGTGGAAACTAGGTTCACAGTTGGGTTGCGGAGCCCACGAGGACAGAGCTCATCTACGTATGTGTCGCCACAGGGGCCAGGTGCTGGAGGAGGCGGCTCAAGAATGCCTCCAGCTGCTTCTCTGATCTGTACGCGATGAGTCCTCCCTTGTTGGCCCACTGATCCACTCCAGCGGCGCCTTCGTTTCCCACGTGATATACCAACTGTGGCAAGTCAAGCCCCGCGTCAGGATTTCTTTCCAGGCATTCCTTTAAGTCCACCATCCCCCCGCCCATGGCCCTGAGGATGGCGTGGCCAGCACAGGAGTCCCACTTGAACGTGGTGTCTTCTGAGAAGATGTAAATGTCGACGAGGCCGAGCACCACACAGAGGCTCTTGTAGCCAGCCCCAGCCGCCCGGAAGACGCGCTCTCCACACACGCGTGACAACGCGCCCTTGATGGCCTCCTTTTCGCTGGTGCTGATGACAGCTGCGAACGGGTGGGAGCCTTCGGAGCTGGGCTTCTGGGTCGCTTGGCTCTGCATTTCACTGTTGCTTCTTGTAGAGACAGGAGGCAGAAGGGAATGGATGTTGGTCCCCAAGTAAGAAAGGCCCCAGTAGCACTGTCCTTTCCACCTATGGAAGAGAACGTTCAGTTTGTGGCGGCAAGTTAACACATTTGTTTTTCATTGCTCCCATGGCTTCCCAACCTGAGGTGAAAAATACATAATGCGTGAGTCTCAAGGCCTTTCAGCCTAGAGATAGTTACCAAATAGCTAATTCATTTCCAAAAGTCACACCCTGTGCCTGTTGCTGCCTGTGTTGTTGCCAGTTAGGAATGCTTTCAGTTTTTTTTTTTTTTTTGCATTATCACATCCATCTAGGACAGTGCTAAAATATTTGTGGGATTTCTAGCCTCTGGGAACACAGCAAAGTTTCACTGCCTCTTTTGGCATTTAAAGTTTAACGGGGGTAAAGATGAACAGATAAATAAGATTTTCAATCTGCAAATCTTTCACAATCCTGAATTTTTTTCAGTTGGCAACACCTTTTCATCCTCCAATTCACTAGCGCCTCTTTGGCTTTAACATCAACAAAAATGGACTCTTTTTTTTTGGCGGGGGGTGGGGGAGGGCAACAACAAAAATACCATCGATCATTTCTCAATGTTTAACTTACTATATACGCTGGATAGTTTCTTTCCAGAGAAGGAGTCTGAGGCTTAGAGAATGCAAGTGTTTAAGAATGTGTATCAGTGGTAGAATCTGCAATCAAACCCAGGATTTGTGCCACTAACTACTTTGCCAACCATTTCTAGGCCATGATTATGTCAACATCCAGTCCCACTTATTTTTAACTTCTTAACGACCCTTTAAAGATAACAAACACTTTCAGTTTGGTAGAAGGCAGGGAAGATGAAAAATATCAATACTGCAGAGGTGTAGTTTATGACTATTAAAGAACAAACAATTCTTAGTTGCTTGAAGCAAGTCAAAATTTAATTTAAAAGTAGTTTTACATGAGTGGGAGAAAATGTCATCTATTTCAGTAAAAAGCTGAAACCACAGGAGAAAAGCTGCTTCTACTTGAACCCTGCCAGGCTCTGGAGTCAACCCTGTCATATTCTGATCCGTAGGCTGTGGATCAGAGCATCAAAGGCTGGGTCACCCTCTATGCTCTGCAAACAGTTCATGGGAGTGTGAGGAAGGAGGAGGCAGAAAAGAAAGTGATACTGACAGTTTTTTTGTTTTTATAGGGAGAGGTTCTAATCCTGGCCATACTTACTGTCTTTTCATTAGATCATTTTCACATTTTGTTGTGAAACCCAGGATTGAAAATTAAAGGACCATTGATTCAAACATGGAGATTTCTAGTAGGAATGCCAACTGTATTGAGTCATGGGAATGTCACATGGAGAGATAATCCTGACAATAAACAAAGCTAAGGTTGTAAACTCTGAAAACCATAATATACCAAAAATATTCCATTTTTACCTGAGGGTGTTTAGGTCTTGTGACACAAAAGGCTGGTTGATGACCCCCATGAGAGGCACCCCTGTCCGCGTGTCGTAGACACCAATTAAAATCGTGACGCACTGAAGTCCGCTGGGGAAGATTCCTTGGTTGGGTTTAATGTCAGCAGAACCTTTTATATACTGATAAGTCGAATCTGAAAAATGAAGCAACTGTTAGGATTCAGGTAATGATTATTTAGAAGGTAAATAATCTTCATCTTGTGTTTATAAGATGAAGACCCCTATAAAACCTGTCCTAGATCATTTCTCTCTAATTTGGTAACAGCCATGGTCTAAATGTTTGTGTCCCCCAAAATTCTAACCCTCAAAAGTTGATGGTATTAGTAAGTGGGGTCTCTGGGAGGTACTTCAGTCCTCGGGGTGGACTCTCATGAATGGAATTAATGCCTTACAAAAGAGGTTCCACAGATACTGTCTCTTCCACTTGTGTGTGTGTGTGTGTTAAGTAGCTCAGTCGTGTCTGACTCTTGCAACTCCATGGACTGTAGCCTGCCAGGCTCCTCTGTCCATGGGATTCTCTAGGCAAGATTACTGGAGAGGGTTGCCATTCCCTTCTCCAGGGATCATCCTGACCCAGGGATCAAACCCGGGTCTCCAGCATCGCAGGCAGACTCTTTACTGTCTGAGTACACAGTGAAAAGATGCCAATTATGAATCAGGAAGAAGACCCTCACCTAATCATGCTGGCACTTTGATACCAGACTTCTCAGCCTCTGAAACTGTGAGAAATAAATTTATCTTGTTTAAAAGCTACCTAGTCCATGGTATCTTGTTGTAGCAGCCCAAAGGGACTAAGATAATAACCAATCACGTTTTACCTTCGGGTGCCACTTAGATGGAACTATTATCTGACCTTTTGTACTTTGCTCTGAAGCTGCTTGCATTTCATTTTCCCAGCTATACATAAATTCTTGGAGAAAGGAGACATGTCTATAATTCCTATGGCAGCTAGCTTCCTTCCTTCTTGTGTTGTTAATCGCTCAGTCATGAACAACTCTTTTGTGACCCCATAGGACTGGAGTCACCAGGCTCCTCTGTCCATGGGGTTCTCTAGGCAAGAATACTAGAGTGGGGAGCCAGTCCCCTCTCAAGGGCATAACACCTTGCAAATGGTAAGAAGCACTCAAATATTCATCACCATGTCAAAATCATCTAAAAGGTAATGGCTCAGGATAACTGGGGGATCCCTTTGAGTTCTTACTAACCAGAGGACAGGTCCAACCAAGGTGGGTGGGAAAGTCTCCTTCCAGGAATCTGAATTCCATTCCATTTGAATTCCATCAGGGATGGAATTGCCTTTTTGTTTGTTTTGTCCCTCAAATTAGGAGGAAAGAGACGCTGGTGTCACAAGAGGAAGAAGCTCAGACAGTAAAGCGTCTGCCTACAATGCAGGAGACTCGGGTTCGATCCCTGGGTTGGGAAGATCCCCTGGAGAAGGAAATGGCAACCCACTCCAGTACTCTTGCCTGGAAAATCCCATGGACTTTGCAGCCTGGTAGGCTACAGTCCATAGGATCACAAAGAGCCTGGGAAAAAGAAGCTAAGGAGTGAGGTTTCTCCTTAAAAGACATACCTGCCAGCAGCTGACTGCCAACATCTAGTGAATTAATACTCAGTTAAGGATGTGCGATGCACGAGATCCAGAGAGCTAGCTAAGAGAATCAATTCAGGATAAAAACAAAACAAGGTTTCCGTTCCTCAAAACCCATAACTGAGGCTGATTTACCTTTAGGCGATAAAAGATTCTGGGAAACATTCGTAGTCTGCGTAACACTCCACTGACTGAATGTTCTACTGCTATGATTAAAGGCATTTATATCACGTATCAGCGTGCTTGTAGGGGAGAGGGTGAGGGGAGTTTGCCTACTCAGCTTAATGATTGGTCCCAGTTGTACTGGGTAGACTATGCCAAGAACCTGGGGGAAAAGTGGGACTTAGACCCAGGGCATTATATTAACGGCATCATTGAGACCGGCCTACAGTTTTAAAGCAGTGAACTATAGATTATGGTTCTACTATAATCATAACCAAAAAAATAACGGTAAGGTATACACAGGACTCACAAAGTGACTGCTAGGAGTCGCATTCAGTTGTGTTTTGCTTGACCTGTGCAGTGGTTCTGCTTGTTTACTTACTTAACTGAATTAGGAGCCAGGAGTTAAATTGTGAGAGCTCATTAAAAACCTGGATTTGTGTTTTTATTATTTTTAAATCTGAAGATCTGCACTGTACTCCCAGATGGTAATAATCTGCCAGAGCTGGATGTTCTTAAGATGTGTGTGTGTTCAATTAGTTATAGCTGCTATCATTTCATTCTTCTCTCATATTTAGCAGTCTGGCCCCTGAGGTCTTTCAAAAATGAGTTAATTCAGTTTTGTATATCTGCCTCTGTGTGTGTGTGTGTGTATACACACATGTGTGTTATAAATATATGTGTATATGTATATAATACACACCTCAACTCTTCATTTATTTATTTCTTTAGGCCCCAGTGTGTAGCTTGCAGGATCTCAGTTTCCCAACCGGGGGTTGAACCCAGTTGTGAGAGTCGTTTGTCATTTTAAAACTTCAAAAATTTAAAACTTCTAGGAGAGTTAAACCATACCCTCAATTTTCATTTTTCCAACACCCCCCTTCAAAAAAAGGATTACTAAGGAAAGCAAAGAGACAAAAGCAAACACTCTCCTCTGCTTACCTATAGGATCCACCCAGATTCCCAAGATGTCCTGTGGAATGCTGACCTCCACCGACTCCAGGGCTGGGTCACTGAAGAAAACATCCTGGTGGACAACCTTGGCTAAGGCCTCAGATGCCAGTTTGTTACCATTAAGGACTTTGCTGAGAAGAGCTACTGTTTCTTCCTCGGTTGGACACAGTCTCATGATAATCTTCTCCCCTAGAGTAAAGACAAACTGAAGACCATTACATCTCAAGTTTCAGAGGAGAAAGAACAGGAGATGGGAGAAGCACCTTAGATTAGGTGAGGACAACATATACAGCCCACTCCACTATTCTTTTTTTTTTTCCTTAACACCAAAACATTTTGTATTGGGGTACATAGCCAATTAACAATACTTCCAGGTGAACAGTGAAGGGACTCAGCCATGCATATACACGTATCCATTCTCCCCGAAACTCCCTTCCCATCCAGGCTGGCACAGAATACTGAGCAGAGTTCCATGTGCTATGCAGTAGGTTTCCGTTGATTATCCATTTTAAATATAGCCCACTCCACTATTCTACACTGGAGAATCCCATGGACAGAGGACCCTGGTGGACTATAGTCCATGGGGTCACGAAGAATCAGACACAACAACTGAGCAACACCACACACACACACACACACACACACTCACACACACACACACACACACACACACACACACACTATCCAGACTAGTGTCTCCTAACCTAGCTGACCACCAGAACCGCCCAGTGGGCTTCATAAAGTCGAAGCTGATTTATTGGTCACTCAGCTACCTCACAGTGAGAAATGAATTCCAGGCACCAAAGGACCTTCTCTCCAAAAAGTTTCCATATGGACACATGCAGTTTTCTGTAACCAGTTTAAGGCAGCTCATGTTAAGAATCCTGAACCCTGAGTCTTTGATCAACAACCTTCTATGCTTTTTACCTTGTGGCTTTTAATATCCTGGAGGTCTCCCTGTTCACGTTTGAATATGTTGATTGAAAAGAAAAGAGTTTTTAATAAGGACACAGAAGGGCTTCCACCTCCCTTTATGATGCTGCTTTTAACTAAAAACTGTCTATGCTCCGTAAATATAACATGACGTACATTCATCTTTAAATGTGGTAAAGCTGGAGGACTCTAAATCACATACAGAGAATAGCTCTCCTCCGTGAAACCACTGGAAATCAGAATGTAAGCAAAGATGCTTCTGCAATTGAAACCCCAAGTTACCAAGTCCATGTGTTTGCCATCACTTTAAAGATCCTTCTTAGACACGTGCTTCATCTGATTTCCAACCCCCAAAGCACAAATGGGAAAAGAGGCTCTCCTACAAGTTTTACCAACAAAAAGTGACAGCAATGCAGAATATAAATTTTTAAAAGTTAAGAAAACATGGCACTTTCGGGCTCTTGAGGTATCTCAACAAACACTCCTAACTAACCTAGCCATTCCAAGAACCAGCAGCATTGCCATCACCACAGCGCCTGTTAGAAATTCAGAACTTCAGTCCCCATCCCAGACCTGCTGAGGTCTGACAAGATCCCCCGGTGACTCCTGCGATTTTGGGAAGCACACTGTGAATCTATCACAATGATGATTCTGAAACAGCAAGAATCAGTCAATTAAGTTTAATTCAAATTAAATGAGATTGTTAAAGTTTGGGAATAATGTTAATCACCACCACTTGCTAAGCAGCTACTCTAGGCTCAGTAAAAATCATGGGTTCACTCAAAGGAGCAAATCATATCACGTTCCTCTATGCGTAAAACTTACCACTGAATTCTCACCATACTTAAGGGAACGCCTTCCTTTGAACTTCCATGATCTCATCTTACCTCATCCACCAGCCCCTCCTTCACCATGGGTCTCTGCCTTCCAATATACTAAATCCATCCTCTCCTTCAGTTCTCAGGAAATGTACGTGGGATGCATTTTTGCCCCGATCATTCTAGATAAATATTACAATAACTGTTTATGATGTAGCCAAATATAAGTTTTTAAGTGTAGGATTTCTTATGGGTAAGTCGCAGGTGATTTTTTTAACCTTAAGTTTAACTGAGATTTCTCTTTCTTCTTACTGAGTGTCACAGAACTAACTGTATCTTAATACACAGCCCATGAAATGACAATTTTTTTCCAGAGTTGATCCAGAAATTAGTTCTCTTTGTAAATATGCCTCTAGATGTTTAACTATTTGTCACATGATCTGTTTAAAGTTCACCATTTTAATCTTCTACCATTAAACAAACAAAACCCAGGCAAACTAAAAACCGCTTGCTTCTCTAAAAAAGGGTCAGAGATTTTGTATTTTTCTCTCTACCACAAGGGAACATAGGGGTCCATCAAAGGAGAATTTGGCTCACAGGAAACTGACTAGAGTTAAACCTTGGTGCTCAAATGAAGCTTTCAGGTTGTCCAGCTCCCTTACCGAGGTTCTGAGACCAGAGAAGCAGTGAGGTCGTTCAAGGACAGGGCCTCCTCTAAATTCTCAGCCTAGGTCTGTGGGCTACCCAAAGTGCTAGTCACTCAGTTCTACCCGACCCTGTGTGACGCCACGGACTGGGGCCCACCAGGCTTCTCTGTTCATGGGATTCTTCAGACAAGAATACTGGAGTGGGTTGCCATGCCCTTCTCCAGGGGATCTTCCTGATCCAGGGATCAAACCTGGGTCTCCTGAATTGCAGGTACATTCTTTACTGCTGACCCACCAGGGAAGCCATGGGCTCTCCAGGAGGTCCACAAATGGGTCTACTTGGACCTGAGATTGTCTGTACATCTGTGTGGATCTGCATCCTTTGGGGGGCATCTATAACTTCCATCAGATTCTCAAGGGGCCATGCAACTTTCCCAAAGATTAAATCATTATTCAATGCTATAGAGTTCTATCAAAATACATGTGAACTTGCTAAATAATTCTAAGATGCCACATCTCTGTCTTACAGGGCAGGTTATCCTGAAGTGCTGAATGAAGTTGAACATTCAAATATGTTATTTACATGAAAGGCCTCCAAACATTACTTTCACGTGTAAGTCGAAAATAAAAATACCATACGATAATTAAGTTATAAAAATGTATTAAGATTCTTGTACTTACCCAAATCATTAGTAAATTCATTGGATTCTTCTCCAAAAATTTTTTCCCCCAAGCCTGGAAACTGAATGATTCAGAATATGACAAGAATACAAAGCAGCAACAAAAAAGTCCCACATTCATGTTCAATTCTGAATAGATTTCCACTTTATATTTCAAACTAAATAGCACAAGTAGGTCAGAAATTTGGAAGTTTACAATTCCAGAAATCAATCCAAGTGTACTAAGTGAAATCAGATTGGTTCAGCACTTTTCTAATACCAGTAGTTTTCTAACACTTTCCTGTTCCTTTGCCCCTTTAGAAAGTCCAAGTCATGGTAGAAGTCTGGTTTCCTTATGTTCTGTTGAGTCTGCAGAAGTACTTCTAGAACTTCATCCGCCTAGTTACAGGCCATGAGCTAGAATGTTTACAAAGGAGATGTTTTAACTGCTGCTCCTACAAAGTACCCAAGTAACTTGTACAAGTTACTGTTACTGCCCAAGCACCTGAGATGCTTAGTTGAGACTGGAGAGAAAGGAGCAGAGGATGACATTTAATCTTGTTTTCTGCACATGTTAAGGTATCATTAGCCATCAGGCTAGGAAGGCAATGTAGCAAAAAAGGGGAAATATTTTATTTGCCAACAACTTATGCATCAATATTTTGATGGAATGAAAAAACAAACAAAAAGAAACAAGCTAAATAGGAAACTTCTCTCATGTCTATATGACCAGGAAGCTTTCAGACACATTTTGCTTCTGATTTTCTCTGTAGTAAAGATAATTTCTCTCAAAATATGTGCTGAATTATGGTATGAGTACAATTCTCAGGCAATGAAAGCAAGGAAATGCTTCAAATATTTGAGCTCAGTTATTCACAAATGGCCAATAGATGTAACAGTGCCCACAACTACTTGTTATTTTTAACTATTTGGAAGAACAATGCAAGTCAACACATACTGGCACTGAACCTATTGATCAAGTCAAAGGCTGAAGCTCCAGTCTCCCAATTTGCCTAGAGACCCTTTCTGAGGCTATAGTACATAAGAGTCACGATATTTTATACATACCAAAAGTGAGTATCATTTATGTATTCATAAATCTTGGCAGATACTTCATGAACAAACAATTGCCTGAACTTGTTATAATGCTCTGAGGCAAATATTAGCCCACAAAACTTACATTTCTAATCTAGTTGCTCAACCATCCCTTCCACCCAGCTCTCTTGATCAGTAACAAAAATAAATTTCCTTACACTGGATCCAGATAGTATAGGGCATGAAAAAGAAAACAGTCTGTAGAAATTTCAAGGGGTCATTTATTCTCTCTTCCTACCTGTGGTCAAGGACTCACTTAAATGATTCTAAACAATTCTTAACATTTTGAGAATTTCATAGAAACAATTCCAATATTTTGTAGGGCTTTCTGATGTAAAATTCTATCCTCCAAAATCTAAAAGAAAAGTAATTAGATTATTATATAAAAGGTAATATGGTATCACAAACAGCATAGACTCTGGAGCTGGTCAGCCCATGTTCAAAAACCAGCTCTTAAAAAAAAAAAAATTTAAAAAAAAAAAAAAAACCAGCTCTACCGTTCATTTGCTGTGTAACACTAGGCAGGTTATTTAACCTCTGTGTCTCCCTTTTCTCTTCCATTACATTGAAATAGTTCTTATAAAATTGTTATGAGTTAAACTAATATATTTAAAGCCCTTAGATAAGTACTTGGCTCACAGTAAGCATTTACAAGTGCCTGCTAATGTTACTGTTTGCTATAACTGCTTATGAATATAGTTTATTTACCCTATTCAGCTTAAAAGACCTAGAATTACAATCATTGTTAGTTACAAACAATGTTTTCCTACTAAAATAAAGAGAGACTTTAAGTCTCCAGAACCCTATGAGGCTATCACTGAGGCAACCATTAGGTAAATGACTATGTCAAAAGGTGAGACTTAATATTATCAAGTTAAAAAAAAAAGTTATAAAATAGTATGTTCTCATTTCTTTGGAGTTAAGTTAAACCTGCCATGCACACACAGAAGGAAAACATTCTAATATTTAGCAAAAACAGTTGTGGTTTTCTCTAGTGATAGAATTAGGAGGATTATTTTTCAACATTTAAGTTTTTCCTGTAACACATATTTTAGTAATACTGCAGTCAAAATAAGGGGGGAAAACCTAGTTGCTTATTAGAATCCATGGTGCTGGGGGGCAGGTGGTGGAGAGGAGGAGGCGAGGTATTTTATGGGGGGAAACCACAGGGGCAAATAATTTGCAATTACCTTGGCTGTGACATTCCTTACCTTGTTCTCCATATTCCCTTTGATAACTTCCTGTACCAGCACATCAGCCAAGGTCTTGAAATCAACTGCAAACTTCTTGTTCTTTTCTCCCTCTTTCTTTTCTTCTATCAGCAGCTGGAAGAGGGCTTCCTGCTGCCTGCACGCCCGGGCAATGTTGGCAGCTTTCTCAGAGACTCGGAGCAGCTCTTGGAGGATATCTGACATTTCTGAACCTGGCTGTTTGGTTGCAGCAGCCGGTGGAACAGGCACCCACCCGCTGAGCTGTCAGCTGGGAAAGTACAAGAATGTGAAACAGAAAGCAGTTCAGAGAGTGAGTCAACCTGCGAGCACGTCTGAGTGGCCAGTAGAGATCACACTCACAACCTCAGGTGGAAGCTTCATCTAAAACTTGAAACTTATCTTTCAAGATCAACATATTTACCATCTCAAATCCACTAGGCAAAGAATATACTTCTCGGGGAAAGAAAGTCTCTAAATGAGAATCTACACTGTATTTACCAAACTCTAGACCAACAGGCAGGTGGATACACGAGCACAATGTTGAAAAGAAAAGCCAAGTTCATGCAATGACCTTCGAATGAGCACATGAGCTTGGCAACATTAGTAAAGGAGTGCTCTTTCTTTCACCCTTTGGGGGAAGAAGGAAGAAGGGAAAGCGGGTTTATCCTATCAGTCTGGGAGCAACTTTCTAAAGTACCAGGCACCACACTAGCAGACACCTCAGTGTCCTGCAAGACTCTTGAGATCACACACTTGAGCTAGCAGCCCAGGTGATGTACCAACCCGCCCCCGCCTTTTTTTCTATTAAAAATGTCCCACTAGCTGTGCTACTGACAGCAAATTTAAATAATAAAATAAAGTAAAACATGCAACTTGTTGGGATTTGAAAAGTTCTGGCTTCTAAGAAGCATGCTACAGTGCCTTGACATACCTATTGGGTAAATAGCAGAGAAACATTTCTCTGTTTCAATAGTAGCTGCATTTTATTGAATGCTTTAATAATTCCTATCTCATTATTATGAGAATTAGTGTGAGGATTATCAGCCTTATTTACAGTCAAGGAAACTGCAGCTTAGAGAAGTTAAGCAACTTGTTTAGGTTACATAAGACTAAACGGCAGGGCTGAGACTCCGTCGTACACAGAAGCTCACGCTCTTTATGATCCTAACAAATACTTTACTTCTTAAAAAAAAAAATCCTTTAATGGACTGTGGGAGGCTGACAATTAGTACAACAGTGAAGATGTCAATGCAATGGAGTTAACTGAACTGTCATAGCTGTGTTGTCTTAGGCAAGTCTGCTTTAAAAATCATATGCTATTTTCTTAAGATAATGGGCCAACCATCATAAGAAAATATGTCCAACCTCAATAGTAATAAATGGAAAGTGAATAAAACAATGAGACATCCCACTTCACTATTAGATGGGCAAAACTGTTTCTAAAGTTAACATTCATTCTTGCAGGTGTGGTGAAACAGGTGCTGATATTCTGCTAATGGGCATGTAAAAATGTGGGTTTGTAGAGGAAAATTTGAGAAAAATGGATCACAATCCCTAGAGATGCTATTACCTTTAGCCACTAATTCCAGTTGGCTTTATTTTGAATTAAGAAAGCTATGTTTATGTAACAAAGTTATATTTAATATTTTAAATATTTCTGCACAAGAAGGATTAGTATTATTGACTGTAGCAAAAAGTTAAAAAAATCTTAAATCCTGGAGAAATGTAGATAAACTATTATATAGTTATTAAATAATATTTTTGAAGAAATTTAATAGGAATATGTTAAAATGCTATAATGTTAAGTAAATACAGTATCACAGTATGTTCCTAATTTGTGTTTAATACACACATACACTCTGTTTATACATATGGAGAGAGAGTTTAAAAGACTAGATGATGTTCTAATGGCAGTTAAATGTTTATCACTGTGTACTAGAATTGTGGAGGATTTTTCTCATGCTTTTCTGTAATTATCAAATATTCTACAGTAAATATATACTGTTTTTATAATAATAAGTGATATGTTAAAATGCTTTGGGACAATTAAGCACAAAGGACAAGAATTCCTCAATTCCTAAAGATAACTGTCCAAATAATGTGGTGCTATGGCAACAACACAAATTCAGATAACAGAGACGATAGAGTTAAAAATTAAACAAAAACACCTGCCTACTTAAATGGCTTTTTCCCCCAAGGCGTAAATACATTAAAAAAAAAAAATCACTTTGGTCGACAAACCTCAACATTAAGAAAAATAATTATATTAATATAGCTGAGGCATCTTGACTTAGAAATAACTTATGGCATCTATATGCTATTAATTATAAGTTTTATATAATATATACATGCAGGGATACATACATATCAGTAGAATACATAAGTTCCAAGTATATAAATTCAATAATTTTGATTTCTTAGTATGCATTATATAATTATTTTAAGGGAAAAGAATCAATGAACTAATAGTATCTAAGTAAATTTTTATCTTAAAAACAGCATGAAGATTTTAAGGAGTCCAATTTGAAAACTTTCTAGATTAACAATCAGTGTGTGTGTGCGTGTGTGCATGTGCATGCTCAGTCATGTCTGACTCTTTAAGACCCCATGGACTGTAGCGCACTACGCTCCTCTGTCCATGGGATTTCCCAGGCAAGAATACTGAAGTGGGCTGCCATTTCCTCCACTATGAGATCTTCCTCACCCAGGACTGAACCCACATCTCTTATGTCTCCTGCATTGGCAGGCAGATTCTTTACCCTTAGATTAATACCAGTAAGGAATTCCCTGTTGGTCCAGAGATTAGGACTCCATACTGCTGAAGGCCCAGGTTCAATCCCTGGTCAGGGAACAAAAATTCCACAAGCCACACAGTGCGCCAAAAGAAATAAAAGCTTCCATCCCATGCATATTATTAAAAAATACCAGTAGTGTCTATTTTACTCCACTTTGTTAAAACCGATTAGCTTTTTAAAAACAAACACTGTACCACCACACCGCTGAATAACCAAAAATCTCCCCCTATGATGTCCTCAGAACTCAAGTGAGTTACACAGGTTACAAGCTCCAGGCACCACCACCACCCTTCTCTTCACACAGAAAACTCACCAATCTAGTCCTGATAAGTTTCTATACAGCAGCTGAGAGATCTGGTATTTCTCCCCTTTGAACCTGATCTTTATTTGCTCAATAATGAGTATTCTCACATCACCTGAGCAGAGCAACTTCAGCTCTAAATTCAGCTCTAAACTTCAGTCCCATAATTAACAGTGGCACAGATTTTCAGAATTCATCATAACACAGTAAATCACGTTTTTCAGTTCCAAAGTTATCCCAGCACTCAACCTTAACCACCCTTTCTTCTGAACCTGGAAACACTGGTATCTTATCAAGCTCCAGGCTCAACACCCAGTTTCAGCTCAGGACAAGGCTTTCTGTAAGCCACCCCCAGAACGTCTTTAGCTCCAGAGTCCTAGCCCCCTTAAAGAAAAAAAAAAAAAAAATCTCCCAGCTATCATCATCTACACGCAAGACTTCCTAATTAATCTGCATAGTTAGCAGGCCGCTTTCTGGCTGACTGGACTGTTTTGTCCAAATGAACGAGGCCCCGCCCTCTGTGCGCCGATAACTGCTTCCGGGTCTCTCTCTGTCCTCAACTCAGTTCGCTCTGCAGGCCGCAGCACTCAGGGCGTACTGGACAACGTGCCCTCACTTTGAAGGACACAGCTTGAGAGAAACTGTCTTAAAAGAAACTGAGTTGTACATCCAATACAGAATTTCTTTGAGCTTCTTAACAGCTCATATTAACACTTATGGAAATTCATTTAGATGATTTTAAAAAGAAAGTTTATATACTCATGACTGACCTAAATTAGCTTTATTGAAACATTTCAAATACTTTAAGTGAAAATTATAGACTCATGATAAGTAAGTAATTGCATTTACCATAATTTAATAGCCTTGAATATAGAAGAAATTCCCTGGGATTAGTGGTTAATGGGTGTTCTGAGAACCACATGTTAGAATTACCTAAGGTGTCTACTACAAGACAGATTTCTGGGTTCCATCCCAAGTTAGTGAGTCAGAATCTCTGGAGACAGGGCCCAGGAATTTGTACGTCAGCTTCCTAGATGATGCTAAACACTGAGATGTAATAGCTGCTGTTCTTAAGGCTGTTCATTCTTCTTTAATACTACACTGGTAATTTCAGCGGGGCTGAGGTATCTTGGTGGAACCATGTGCTACCAGTTATCCACGCACAGAGAAAGACCCAAGCTAAAATAATAACAGCCAATAGTATTAGGTGCTTACTTTATGGCAGGCATCCTTCTAGGCACTTTACATACATTAATTCTCACACAACCCTACAAAGAAAATACTATTATTTCTATTTTAACTGATGAAGAAACTGAGGCACAAGAGGGTGAAGTAATTTGCCCAAAATCACACAGGTGGGAAGTGGCTAGGACAAGATTCAAGCCCAAGTAAACTGGTAGAAACCCACCCTGTAAGCCAGTGCTCTAGCCAATAAAATCCTTTCATAAAGTGTTAGCTGTTAACTAAGGGAAGAAATGAGCAATCACGGGATAAATAATTACTAGACTATTATTATAAGGTGCTTTATATAGCAAAAAGAGAGAAACACACATACCTACCTGATAGCTGTCAGTGGTCTAACTGTTAAAAAAAAAATCACGCTTTGATACTCATTTCCTCTCTTCTCTCAGGAAAATCTTTTCTCTAGCAGATCCTCAGTCTCAATGTAAACCATCTTTCCTGGAGAGTAAAAGCCCTTCTATGTTCTACTGAGGTCTCAGCTGGCTATCTTGACATGAAGGGTGAGGTGGGGGTGTCAGCTTATGCCGAAACATCTAATTCCTCAAGCACTTGTTGGCTAGGGCTACCCTAAGTAGGTGCCACAGACCGGGTGGCTTAAACAACAAATTTATTTTCTCACAGTTCTGGAGACTGGAAGTCCAAGACGGGCAGGGTTGGTTTCCCCCGAAGCCTCTCTCCGTGACTAGCAGATGGCCTTTCCTCTGTAGATGAGCATCCCCAGGTGTCTCTCGGTCTCTTTATAAAGATTTCAGTCAGACTGAATTAGGGCCCACCCATGTGACCTCACTTAACCTTTACTGAGCTAAGCTAAAGGCCCTTTCTCCAAATACAGTCACACTATGAGGTATGGGGAAGATAGGGCTTAGAGGAATAAGCTTCAGCCCAAAGAGACCTTGATAATCTCAGCAAATACCATCCCAATCTATTCCT